AAGTACAACTTAAAGTTATCGAATTCAGGCCCCAGGCATGCGTGGTTCTCACGTACGGTCCCGCGAGATTTCTTGGCGGGAAAATGGTTAGCTTGAGAAAAAAGAAAGCTGAGAGGCTGAAATTTTAAAGTGGTGTTTCCAGCTAAACACAACTTAAAGACTCCAAACTCAGCCCCCGCGTATGCTTTCAGGTCAGGTGAGGCCTGTGAAAGTTTTGGCGGAAAAATTGCTAATTCAGGAACCAAAAATGCTGGAAAGCTGAGGTTTTGGGAGAATACTCACCGCCCAAATACAACTTAAAGGTTTCAAATTCAGCACTGTACTTGTGCGGTGTTCTCGTGTACGGGCACTTAAATTTTTTACGGGAAAATTACTCACTGAACAACTGGGTTATTTTCAAAAAGTGACCGCTAAACGGTAACTGTTTATTTTTATTTATGCAAAATTTACGATGATTTACAGTATTGAGCGCACGAGGTAAGTGTGAGGAAACAGCTGTTCATGCAGTTAACCTAATTCAAGTTTGGTGCGAAAACGCATGATCGCACCGGCTCGCATAGTGCGTTCCAGCCTGGGTTGTATTATGCAAATTGCAAAAATGCATATTGGCGAGAGGCTGTCTGTGTGTATCTGTGTGTTCCAGTTTTCGTCGCTCACTTTCAACTCGAGAATCAGAAATGAGAAGGCTGAAACCTCGGGAGTATGTGCCCATCACATGCGCGACCTTCCCGTTTTAATATCAGGCGCGTACTTTGAGTGTCCCGTATGGACGCCTTAAAAAATATGCAAATTTCTTGGTGGGAAAGCGATCTCAGAAATCAGACAAGATAGAGAGCTGAAACTTTGCATCCGTCAGTTAAAGTATTCTGTATACAACCGTGAGCTAAAGATTTCAAATTTAGCCCCTAGGTGTCCATACTTCACAAATGCGAGCACGTAAAAGTTTTGGCGGGGAAATTGCTAACTCCGATATGAGAAAATCTGAAAGGCAGGAATTTCGAGGGCATGTTCCTTAATCATGTGCGACTAAAAGATTTCAGATTCAACCCTTCTAGTGGGGTCTTTTTCGCGCACCAGTGACCTTCCATTTCTCAGGCCACTAAAGCCAACGTCTGTAGCTGACATGCCATGTAGCTGCACAATTAACTGCCTGAACTTCAAGGGTCAGTATGTTACAAATTCTAGCTACTGTGATTTCTTGCGACTTTGCTACAGCACGAAAAACTGCAAAAAGATATGATCGCACCGGCACTCCTGGTGCGTTCCAGCCTAGGTTTTTCTTGCTGGGCTTGTCTGACAGAGGTGTTTGCCATGGAACAAACTATGGATTGCGTAGAATCGTTTCTAAAGTTGATGGCACGTATTGCTAGAAGGAAGCTACTTAACCTATCGTTTTGCTCCTATAAAAACACTTTTTTCACTTGATTTTCATTCCAAATATGAAATAGCTTGAAAACGGATATAAAATAAATCAGTTTGTGTACTTGTAGAATGAAGTGTTGTCGTTGAGAGAAATTTCAAAAGTTTTTTTAAAATAGTTAAAGAAGTTTTAAAAAGCTCTTAAAAAACTTCTTTTTTAAACCTCTTTTTTTGGTAAAGAATTGTGTACTATGCGCAAATTGAGTATTATGAATGATTTAGGTTATGGCGCTCAGTCAAGAACGGGTGATTGAATCAACATTGTATCAAGCAGTGGCTAGTTCTGCAGAATTCGTCGATGAGGTCAATGAAGATGCATGTAGTGAAGCACCAAGCACTAGCACAAGATCATACAGCCCGCTTGAACCTCGAGGTTCGTTCGCTTCTTGCCCTTCTTGCTCTTATTTGCCCTTACTTAGGTCGGTGAGGCTTCTAATGTAACAATCCAAAATCGTGTCCAAGTCATGTTCCTCTTTTTTCGGCCTTGCCGTTATATGCAGTTATTTGCCAACGAAAACAAGTTTACAAGGGTTTTTGAAATGACCATAAAGACTCTTTTATGCTTTTCGGGCTCAATGTCCCCTTTTCGCATCTCATTCTCTGAAAGAGAAATGCTTCAAGCAGAAATTTTTAGGCAGCAATAGTCAGTTTTCTGTTTTCCGATTTTCACGAAACCTTGAAGGAGTTTTCACTTGCATGCACTTTTTGCAAATTCAACTTGCAAAATTTTGAATTTTTATGCGCTATAGCGCTGCTACAGCCAGCAAAACGCATATTTTCGAGAGGCTGTGTGTGTGTGTTCGGAAAGCGAGTGCGTTTTGTCACCCAATTTCAACTCGGCAACCAGGAAAGCTGGGGGGCTGAAACTTCGGATATATATTCCTACCCCGTGTGTCATCCTCCAATCTTAAGATCTTCCTCCAAACGCGCCTAAACTCCGCGCAAGAGACCCCCAAAGGAATTTGTTGGCGGGAACGATTTCGCGAACCAGGCAACGTAGAAAGCTGAAACTTC